TTCTTCATGAACAATGGAGCACATATACCTTAAGGTTTGTGCCTTTGACATGCTCTTGGCTCTCCAAAGAGAGCCACGGAAGGCAGCAGAGTATGATTATCACTTGGCCAAAGTTTCAATTCCAGGTTTCTCATTAAATTATCTTTTTTTTTTTTTGGTGGGGGGGTGGGTATATAAACTGTTTATTAACAGACAAGGCCTACAGACTTATTTCTTCTTGGACACACCTACAGTGCAGCCACTGCAGCCAGTGGTCTTGGTGTGCTGGCCTTGGACACGAAGGCCCCAGAAGTGCTGCAGCCCTCTATGGGCCCAAATCTTCTTCAGTTGTTCCAGGTCTTCACAGAGCTTGTTGTTCCAGACCATTGATTAGGACCTGGCTATATTTTCCTTCCTTTACATCTTTCTTTCTGTTCAAGAACCAGTCTGGGGTCTTGTAGTGGCGTGGATTTTGCATACTGGTGATCACACGTTCCACCTCATCCTCAGTGAGCCTTCTTGGTGAGGTCAATGTCTGCTTTCCTCAACACCACATGAGCATATCTTCAGCCCACACCCTTAATGGCAGTGATGGCAAAGGCTATTTTCCACCACCCATCAATGTTGGTATTGAGTACTTGCAAAATATGCTGGAACTTTTCAGGGATCAGTAGAGACATGGCCACAGCACAAGAAGAAGCAGGCAGGCCTCCTGTGGAAGAGCTGCATTATCTTAATATGAATACAGGTTCCCACCACTTTAAGATCAACTGTTCCTAAAACTATGGAAACAAGAGGAGTGATTGCCAGCAATTAGCATGGCCACCCGTACAGCTTACCTGCAGGCTGGGCCACCTGCTTGACTGCCTGATGCTTGGCCTCCTGCTGGCCTCTGCATGGTTTCCCAGTTTCACTCTGAAAAAGCACCTTCCTTCTTCTCTGTCTGAGCCGTTTCTTTTTTTTAACTTGGTAAGTTAACCTTTCCTTTTAAGAGGAAAGTAATCCTATAAGATTGTTTTTTCTAAAGTGTAGGAGGCCCTATGTTCATCAAGGAAATTAAAGTGAATATTGAATAACCCAAAGAAAAATAACTGGTAAATCAAAATAAGGATTTGGCCAAAACATCTAACTTGTTAGAGATGTATTTTTGAAGGTCAGTAGAGATTCTCATTCCTTAACTGGAACTTGATTCTCAGTTCCATTGGTAGGAAGCTCATAGGGTTTCTCACGGAAGGTTTAAATCTTATTATATTCTACATCATGAGCTCTGCTATCAGAACATGATTATTTTTTAAAACTCTACAAACCCTTTGCAAGAAAAATAGTTGAACGACATGCAGACATACAGAAACCTGTCTGTCCCAGCAGGACCCCTGATATCCTGATGCAGCCATTTTGATACAAAGCCAAAATGTTCATGATCAAGTGTTCTATCCTCAGATATTAGTTATGACTAATATCCAACAATTCTGATTACTAATTAGAAAATTGAGTTATTGTCTTTAAGTTCAAGAGTAAGTGTGAAACCATTTTGTCTTTGTTATCACCTAATCCAATTCCGTCCCATTGTTGGCAGCACTGACAGCAGTGTCAGCTCCATGGTTCAGCCTGACCCTGTAACCCACACTGACACTCCAATGCCAGAAAAGAGCTCCCAGTAACACAAAGCTTGCTGCAACCCAACCCGGATTTTTAAACATCAAGCAAAAGTAAAGGAGGGCTATTTACAGGATTTTAGCATCTGAGCTGAAAGATTTCCAGGTGGATCTTGCAAAATGTGGGCACTGACTGGGTTTGGGAATAATTTATGACACAAGAGCTTTGAATTGATGGACATAGCTAGGAGAGGGTCTTGAAGCAAGTTTTAATTAGCTCATTGTTTTGGTTAGAGCACAATCTTATCTTTCAATAGAAGCTTAGAATTTTATATCTCATCCTAGCATTGCTTAATTTAGGGGCAAGGAATTATGACAGTCTCAATTTTCACGTCTGACAACTGGATCTTCCACTTGCCTAAATAGCACCATAGAGGAAAACTCCTCAAAAATTCTCAAATGTGCATACTTACATGACCATATTTATACAACTTTCCCATCTGCCCTCCTTCCTTAGCTCTCTTGATTCTGGGCCAGTACCTCCTTTGGGACATTCTTACAATGCCAACTACCAGAAACCGTATGTGCCCATGAATTCTGATTCTGTCTATTGTCATGTCATTATAATACAAAGGAAACTTGGTATTTAGTGCTCATTTTTATTCCCTGGACAGTCTTTTCTTAGGATAAGACCTAATGTTGGCTGTTTTTGAGTACTGCAAATCATATGATACTTGTTTGAGGAAAGCTATATAAGGATGATTTTTCTCTTCTTGCCATCTCTTTCTGACCATAGTTTTTATAGAAAATGTTCTGTAGCCTCTCCTTGTTCCCACTGTGCTTCATACCTCCTGGTTGCTTTTTCCATTTACTCAACTCTTTGTCTCTGACTAATCATTATCTAATACTTTAAACTGACAATATATTTATGTTGAATTTTATTGCTCTATGTTGGTCATGGTTTTTCATTCATATTCTGTAAGTTCTTCCAGTGGCTTTGAGCTATTATTCTGTGAGCCCCTTGGTTTCCCCTAGAGATTGTAATCTTCCTCCCCAATTCTGACTTGCTCCTCTACTTCATTGTGTGTTAGAATAGATAAGGTATTTCCCACAAAATTGCTACTTGAAATGTGCTCCGTTCTCTTAGTAGTTACTTCTAAAATTTAAAATATCTAAATATACATAAATATAGCAACGCCAATAAAATTTTTATCACAATACTCTAATTCCTACTTTAAAAAATGGGAAAGGTCTTGGGATTGGATAGTTAGCAAGACAGTGAGAAAGCTGACCTGCACTTTAAAAATGAATTTAGGATGTTGAACCAAAAGTGAAGATGGCTATGAAAGTTAGCTATAGGTGCTCAACATAGCACGAATAAGTGAATGAATGGGTTTAGCATCTGTTGCATTGCTTTAGCTCCAGTTCCGGTTTCACTTTTGGTTTCCTGTGACTGTTGGCAAATTGCTGTTTCACATTGGACTAGACTTGCAGAAATCTATGTAATATCTTTCTTCCCCAGAGATATTCTCTGATATGTGGTTTGGCTCAGGTGGCCTCCTCAGTTTGTGCCAACATTTTCAGCATATGTCAATGGAGGGGATGTTATTTTCTGTTTTTAAAAATGAGTTTACATATGTAACTCTTCAAGTCACTCAGGTCATTTGAATAATATATTTTTCATAGCAGAGTGTTAATGTAACTCTTAGCAGTTATATTAACTATGAAAACTGTTGTTCAAATGAATAAAAACAGATGTTATGAGGAAACTTGCTACTACTGCAGTAAAGCACGGAAAAGTTTCACATTGCTGTATCTGACTTAGAGTTTGCAATGTGGTGATTGGTAAATAATCAAAGCTTTGAGATGTGTGTTCCTTGTGCTGGACTAAATTTAGCACTCAGGTTTGTTTGTTTGGTTTTTAATCCACCATGTTATTTAATAAGCATGTAACACTATGTTAGGTTTTGTTTCTGTTGTTATTCAATCTATATAAAGCCCTATGAGGGGGGTTACTACTATGGTCTTTGGTTTGCAGATGAAGAAATGGAAGCACCAGGCAGCTGAGTCCATTGCCCATGGTTATACAACCAGTCAGTAATGAGTTGAAATTGGAACCCGGGCAGTCTGACTTCAGGATTTCTATTAACCACCATGCAGTACTATCTCAACAAGGTAAGATAAACTGTTTAAAATGGCTTATGTTATAATGCAGTTCAGCATGGCCCAGAATTCAGGAAAAGGCAAGACTTGGTTGAATCCCATCCCAGGATTTTGGGATTCCCAGAGGGCCTCACTCTAGGTTCATCTCACAGGCCAGTTTCTCCATTTCTGTTTACCTAGTCTAGCACAAGGCCTAGAACAGTGAAGAGGATTATTAATACTCTGTGGTACAGAACTGAGATTGTGAAATGAGAGACCAGACCTGTGATCTTGATGGGCCATGACTCTCAGGACAACTCAGTGCTGAAATGCATGTGTTCCAGAAGCCTTGGACATGAATTGTAACTGTGGAACATGTGGTACCAACTTGGACAGGAGTGGTGGCTATAGCTCTAAAATCTCCATCAGCCTTTGCCACCCTAATAAGCCTCTATCTTTCAGGACAGACATACCCCTGCCTGCAAATGTAGCTTTAGGATGACTCTCCTGGCTTGCACTAATCCCCAACACTTCTTTCAACAAAGTTGCCTTGGCCAAGCCTTTCCCGTGTCAATATTCTTCAAGCCCATTTACCACTGATGCTGGGCAAGTTGTCTGACCTTTCTCACCCCCAGCTTCTACATCTGCAAAGTGGAAATTGCAGCAAGGATGAAATAAAACCATTATATAAGTCACTTAGAACAGTAGCTAACGATAGTAAACAGTTAGGAAACAATATTCAATCTGGTTTCCCCTTTATAGGGGACTATAAAGGGAATAATCAGGATCCACAAATGCTCATTAATATTTCAAACAAATCCCCAGAAATGAGAAATTTATTTTCAGGAAGGCAGCATAGGCTAAACACCAAGTTTCTTTGCTTTTGCTGGTATCAAATATAGTGACTTTTTGTATGTGCCCCTAATTTAAAAAGTAGAAAAACAATTACTTTAAAATGCAGGGTGATATATAAAAATTAAGCATTTTAATTTATTTATACAGGCTTAAATTCCAAAGTTATTAACTGTATAATGAAATTATAGTTCTGTAGACTCTGGTTTATTAATTTTTGTTATTAGCCTCCAAGAGCATTTATTAAACACCTACCTATTTAATTAAGAATTTAAGAAGCACCTGGACCATGCAAAAATGTCTGTATTTTAAAGTCTAGTTTGCTGGTTCCTTAAGGGTAGAAGTTACATCTTCTATGAGAGGAAACTAATTTGCAAAGATACTGATTTGCATTTGTTTTGACTATATTTGTTATAACCTTCAAGCATTTTCTTTTTTGGCTGAGCACAGGGGACTTTATTGATGGTACACGACAAGGTGGGGCTCCCTAGGCCCCTCCCTCTTCAAGGGGTCTGCATGGAAACTGTGAGGAGGGGCAATTCAGTGTGGTGGGGGACTCAGTGTGGCAGACACTCCCCAGCAGTGAGGGCCTCTCTTTCTCTCATGCTGTCACTGGGGCTGATGGTCCAGGGGTCTTACTCCTTGGAGTCCATGTGGGACACGAGGTCCACCACCCTGTTGCTATAGCCAAATTCATTCTCATACCAGGAAATGAGCTTGACGAAGTGGTCGTTGAGGGCAATGCCAGCCCCAGCATCAAAGGTGGAAGAAAGGGTGTCACTGTTGAAGTCAGAGAACATCACCTGGTGCTCAGTGTAGCCCAGGATGCCCTTGAGGGGGCCCTCTGACGCCTGCTTCACCATCTTCTTGATGTCATCATATTTGGCAGGTTTTTCCAGACGGCAGGTCAGGTCCACCACTGACACGTTGGCAGTGGGGACATGGAAGGCCATGCCAGTGAGCTTCCCGTTCAGCTCAGGGATGACCTTGCCCACGGCCTTGGCAGCGCCAGGAGAGGCAGGGATGATGTTCTGGAGAGCCCCACGGCCATCACGTCACGGTTTCCCGGAGGGGCCATCCACGGTCTTCTGGGTGGCAGTAATGGCATGGACGGTGGTCATGAGTCCTTCCATGATACCAAAGTTGTCATGGATGACCTTGGCCAGGGGCACTAAGCAGTTGGTGGTGCAGGAGGCATTGCTGACGATCTTGAGGCTGTTGTCATACTTCTCATGGTTCACGCCCATCATGAACATGGCATCAGCAAAGGGGGCAGATATGATGATCCTTTTGGCTTCCTACTGCAAGTGAGCCCCAGCCTTCTCCATGGTGGTGAAGACGCCAGTGGACTCCACCACGTACTCAGCGCCAGCATCGCCCCACTTGATTTTGGAGGGATCTTGCTCCTGGAAGATGGTGATGGGATTTCCATTGATGACAAGCTTCCCATTCTTAGCCTTGACAGTGCCATGGAATTTGCCATGGGTGGAATCATACTGATACATGTAGACCATGTAGTTGAGGTCAATGAAGGGATCATTGATGGCAACAATATCCACTTTACCAGAGTTAAAAGCAGCCCTGGTGACCAGGCACCCAATACGACCAAATCCATTGACTCCGACCTTCACCTTCCCCATGGTGTCTCAGGGATGTGGCTGGTGATGGGAGACAAGGTGTGGCTGTCTGTCGAACAGGAGGAGCAGAGAGCCACCTTCAAATATTTTCTTTTTCTGGCGGGTAGAAAAGTGACCTATTTGGAGCAGGGGTTATTTTCATGGGTAGAGAAAACTAAAGCTGCTTGGAGGCAACAACAATTCTGTTCTTCTGCAGGAGTCTAAATTCATCAGTAACACTACTTATTTGTCTTGTAGGGCAAGAAGAAGGTATCTCTTCAATTGCAAAAGGGGAGTTTTTTTTCAGGCTAAGAATAGGAAGAAGGCCCATAGGCTGCAGGAACAGCATAGACAGCCCTCAGCCCCCACACATACACTGCTGGGCATCATCAACCCAGGGAAGTGGCAAGTTCTCTGGGGAAATGACTGTGCACACACTTCAGAAGAAGACCAGGCACACACAGGCATCCAACTGGTGCTTCTATCCTCTGCAAAGGTTTCTGTATCTCACAAAAAAACATGGAAACAGATTGCTGCCAGAATTTAAAGACTGCCTTGACTTGGATATGGGTGGTCATTTACAGTCCAGAGGTTTCTGTTGTTTCAGGTCTTCTTAGTTTTTGTATAACCTAAAGAGGGATGGAGATGGAACCTTAAGGCTGTTTTTTAAGGTAGAGAGTTGAGAGTCAGTTTTGAGTTTATTTAGATAATGTAGAGACTTGCCTTGCCGACCTTATATTCTGTAGATTACCAGTCTTACTGCTTTGCATGCCTAAGCCTTTGCACATATTAGGTGCTTAATAAATGTTTTTTGAATGGATATGAAACTGAACCTGGAAATTTATGGTAGCAATGCTAATTGGGGCTTATACAATAAAGTAGACACCCCACCGCTAACAGAGATTAGAAATTATCTAGAAAACCATTACTTCAGAGATTAACAATGTTTTCCCATGAGGCAAATATTCTATGTAGAAAAGGGTAAACAAAATAGTGCCAGTTCAGTGTGAGGATCTTTGTGTCACTTGCTAGCTGAAAAGATGAGTTATGCCCTTAATTTGTCAGTGTTTCAATTAGAACATCACTGGTGACCCTTCCTCCTGACACAGGCCATTTTGTTCTTGCAACACACTTGGCCATTGGCCACATTTCCCGTTATTGATGATTCGAATTTATGTATTGCAGATATAAATGATTTAATTGCAGATATAAATGATTTAATTGCAGATTAGATAAATATGATGTAGACATTCCCAATCACATAATTATTTAAAGGATGATAATAATTTGGTCCCATTTGTCAAATAACATTACTGCATTTTAATTTACATTTTCAGAAGATTTAATTAACCAAGTTCTAGGAACTTAGGAACAAGCTGCCTTAAATCCTTCCGGGAACAAGCAGGATACAAATAAATAACAGATAATAGCAGATTGTCCCTTTTATTGATATGATTTCTTACCTTTAGTGATTCCTTTTATTTCTCTTTCAGAGGAGAATATGCTATACTTGTCGGTGATTCATCAAAATTACAATTAATAATTAGGAAAAACAGAATTGTATTATCATTTAAGGCTCACATTTTAAGATTTTCTTTTTTTGAAACTATTCTTTAACATTAACTTAGACCAGGAATACTTAAATAAAATTGGAGTCCTGGGAGTCCTTAAACATGGATGGAGAAAGAGTTACACGTTGATACCTTTATTTTAACTACCCTCTAATGAAATTTAGCCTTTTCTTCAATTATAAATATAGGTAACAAATCACAGGAGGATTTGTAGCACCTGTGATATCTTGGGTAAGAATATCATTAGATCTTGTGTTGACAGAATGGTTTGGGAAAAAGACATTTATTTTCTGTATTACAATTATATGTTTTTAATATTGATTTTTGTATGTATTCGACTTTATTTGTATTTGTCATCCTAAGTATTTTGCCTTACAGATTTCAAAACATTTTGAGAAGGAGTCCAAAGGCAGCGCAGAACTGTCAAAAGGGTCATGGCAGAGACAAATTTAAAAATTCTGGCTCTCTATGAGGTTTTGAGGAGTTCAGGATTCAAGGCCTCATCATGGAATGACAGAGACCATCTTGTATACCTTTGTATTTCTACACTTAGAGCAAGTTTTGCACACAGTAAGTACTTAATAAATACTTCCTAAGTACTTAATAAATGTACATATATGCATTAGTATGTGTTATAATAATACATAATACAGACTGCATATTTCTCTTAAATCAAAAAATTATTAAACGGATGTGAACATGTTCTCATTTTTCAAGACACAGTTTGTGTTTAATACATATTTTTTCCCAGGTAATGAATTATTTAAATTCATTTTTAATAACTCCAGTGCACACACTGCATCCTTTAAGATTTTTCAGCAAGTCATTTGGCTTATATAACATATGCTTCAGGGAGTAAGAAGGAAGTAAATAATTTAAAACTCTTGACAGAGAATTTTTTTGCTAGGCCAACAACAATGTAAATATGTCTTGGTTTTTACAGATCACACTCAAGCATTTGCCCATTGCCATAAAAGAGAGAAGGGCCACATTTTTAATGGGAGAAAATAAGCAAAGCTTATTTAGAAAGGGGTCAGTTTCATTCAGGGACATAGACTCTTTCTGGGAAGTAGTTCTTTGCCAGCTGATGTCCAAAGGTCAAGTAGATCTCGTGAAAAGTAGATCTAGTGAAATACAATGACCCCTGGGTTGAGGTATCACCCTGTTTAGGGAAGCCCTGATGCAACCCCTGAGGGCAGTGCTGCTGGCCATAATGGAAAGCCTTAAAGAGCCTGTTTTTCTGTCACTGCTGTAACAAATCACCACAAACTCAGTGGCTTAAAACAATACAAATTTACTATCTTACAATTCTCTATGTCAAAAGTCAGGCATGGGTCTCATGAGGCTAAAATCAAAGCATCAGCAGGACTGTGGTCCTCCTGGAAGAGCTGAATAGGATCCTTTTCTTGCTTTTTTCAGCTCCAAGCCACCAGCATGTCTTTGCTCTAGCCCTCTTTCCTCCACCCATAAAGCTAAAAAGGTGGTTGAGTTTTCACATGCCAACTTCCTGAGCTCTTTTACTTTTAAGGATTCTTATGACTACATTGAACCTACTTAGATAACCCAGGATGATCTCCCCATCTCAAAATGTTTAACCTGATCACAACTGTAAAGTGTCTTTAGTCACGTAACATATCACAGGTCTCCAGAATTAGGACACAGACATCATTGGATAGGGGAGTCATTATGCTGCTGACCACAGCACTTAAATGCATAAGAACTAATCTCAAGGCTGGGCATGATGGCTCATGCCTGTAATCCTAGCCCTTTGGGAGGCTGAGGGGAGCGGATCATGAGTTCAAGAGATCGAAACCATCCTGGCCAACATGGTGAAACCCCGTCTGTACTAAAAATACAAAAATTAGCTGGGCATGGTGGTATGCACCTGTAGTCCCAGCTACTCAGGAGGCTAAGGCAGGAGAATCGCTTGAACCCAGGAGATGGAGGTTGCAGTCAGCCCAGATTACATCACTGTACTCTAGCCTGGCAACAGAACAAGCAAGACTCAGTAAAACAAACAAACAAACAATCTCAGGGATACGTATGGCACTAGAGAAAAGTGGCAACCTCAAAAAAATAAATTTAAATTTGGAGGCCGTAAGTAACTGGCTCAACTAATCATTGCTTAGTGGTTAGCTGGCAATGAGCTTAAGAAATGAATACAGGGGAGAGGGATAAGAGGTTTGGAAGAAGGCAAAGAGCAGTGCTTGCCATTCAGCTATGATCGCAGGGCAATGAAGGGAGCAAAAGCACAGAATGAGAGAGAAGAGTACAAGTGGGAAGATGATCATAGCAGAAGACCTGCAACTCACAGGGTCAGAGGCAGATAACAGAGAACCTACCTGGTACAATAGAATTGGAAACTTAAGTAAGTCTGAGCATCTAGTACTGCCCCTATACTTCAAAA